GATCCTGGTATGGGACTGGGATCCTGGTATGGGACTGGGATCCTGGTGTGGGACTGGGATCTCAGCGTGGAACAGGGATTTCCTTATGGAACAGGGATCCCAGCATGGAACAAGGATCCCCACACGTTGTCCTGCTGATGTCCAGGGAGGGGGCTGGGTCCTGGGTGCCCTGACCTGTGGAATTCCAGCGGGGTCCTTGCAGGAATGAGGGCACTTGGTGGTTATCCCACATTTCTCAGGTAAACAGGGAGGCCCAGCTCAGGCTTCCTCCTGTTCCTGCTGCCTCCTTGCTCCCCATCCTTGGGTGGGGCAAGTCTGGCTCCTTCTTTGCAAATTCCACGTGCTGTTGCTCTGCTCTCCCAGCCTTTCCTATCCTTAGGATGATCCTCTGGCTCCTTTGGAACCTGATCCTTCGCTGCCTTTTCCCAGCAGCCCCGATCCAGCCCCTGAATTCCAGGGATGTCAAACCCATCTCTGCCGGCCCCTCCTGGCCATTCCCTCGGCTCCATCCCTGCCAATGGCACGGCCTTGGAAAAATCAGGATGTCCTTTCTCCCCTCCTTGGAAATGCCACCTCCTGCCTCTTTGAATTGGATCCCCTCCCGTGCTCTTCCCGCTCCGGCCTCGGAAAATCCCTTCCCGGGCAGTTCCCGTCACATCCCTCTGTTTGTCCTACAAAAAGCCGGGCTGTGGGATGCTCCAGGGTGGGATTAAAGGCAGCAGGGTGGGCTGGGTTTGGAAGGAGCCTTTGATGGCTCCGGAACACGAGCCCGGTGGGATCCTCCGGCCGGGCACATTCCATGCGGGATGCTGCTCCATCCCAACCCCTGCGGGCCGTGGCTTTGGAGGTCCCACACCCAGGGATGAGGTCAGGCTTTCAAGTGTCCAAAGGCTGCAGGACATGAAAGATCCCTCGCTGGGCATGTGCCCAGTTTTTGGCAGCTGCTGAAAATTCCTTGGTGGTGTTCCCGGCCGAGCCGGGAGTTCCGGGAGCTTCTGCCGCCTCTTCCAGCTCGGAGGAATCGGGATTGTTGTTTCTTCTGGCAAATGAAGGGAACAAAATCCTCTCCTAGGCTGTTGTCCTCACTCAACAGGTCCCAAAGCCTCCAAAACAGGTTCCTGTAAATTTTCTCTCTGGGAATATCATCCCAGAGGAGGCTGGAGGGGGGAATTTTGTCGCTTAAACGTTTGGGATGTTTGGAAAATGCTGGCTTGTTTCCCAGGGCTGTCTGAGATGCTCTGGGATGGTTTGTGGATGGGATTGGGAGCTCTGGGAGACCTGTGGCGAGAGCAGGTGGAGGAGTGGAGGGATCCCACAGGGAGTTTCCTATGGAACAGGATATTTGGGGTGGGAGACTGAGCTGGCACCGACACGGAAAAGGTCTCAGAAAGGGTGGGATGGGCAGGTCTTGGGACTCTTTGGGGCCTTCAAAAAGGGTGAGACCCCCCTGCAGAGCTGCTCCAGCCCTGGGAACAACAGCAGGAAGACGTGGAGCTGCTGGAGAGAGTCCAGAGGAGGCCCCGGAGCTGCTGCCAGGGCTGGAGCCCCTCTGCTCTGGAGCCAGGCTGGGAGAGCTGGGGGGGTTCCCCTGGAGAAGAGAAGGCTCCAGGGAGAGCTGAGAGCCCCTTGCAGGGCCTGAAGGGGCTCCAGGAGAGCTGGAGAGGGACTGGGGACAAGGGATGGGGGGACAGGACACAGGGAATGGCTTTAACTGAAAGAGGATCAAGTTTTCCTGTGCCTGTGCCAGCAAGAGCTGGAGAATCGTGGTGGTGCTGCAACCTTGGCAGTAGCAAGGAGATCCCAGGATCCCATATCAGCATCAGTCCAGGGGCCTGGGGCTGGTCCTGGCTTAACTTGAGTCTGGAATAAAACCTGGAAGCACGTGGGAAAGGGCAAAGTCAGGATGTTTCACTTCACTTTGTCCTAAAAGCAAATATTCTGATTTTTCATTCCCAAATCCCAGCCCTTGGGATTTGCTCCGGCACCTGCCCCGAATTCCCAGGCACGGCCACGAGCCCCAGGCAGGGCAGGAAAAATCCTGCTGGGATCAGAGGCTGTGGATCAAAAGGCAAGCCCTGGGTGCAGAGCTGCTTCCCGCTGCCAATCCCCCATCCCAGAGTTCTGCCTCTGCTCACTCCATGAAATCCCAGGGAAAGGTGTTGGTTGGAGCCGGGACAGTCAGAGCAGGTTCCTCTTGTGCTCCCTCTCATGTCATCAGTGGAGGGGGAAACTCGTGTCCCTTTAACCTGTGTGAGGTCAGGGAATCATGGAATGGTTTGGGTTGGTGGAGACCTTTAAAGCTCATCCCATCCCACCCCTGCCATGGGCGGGGACACCTTCCACTAGCCCAGGTTGCTCCAAGACCTGTCCAGCCTGACCTTGGACACTTCCAGGGATCCAGAGGCAGCCACAGCTTCTCTGGGAAATCCATTCCAGGCCTCACCACCCTCATAGACAGGAATTTCTGCCCATATCCAGTTTAAATCTACCCTCCTTCAGCTTAAAGCCATTCCCTGTGTCCTGTCCCTCCATCCCTTGTCCCCAGTCCCTCTCCAGCTCTCCTGGAGCCCCTTCAGGCCCTGCAAGGGGCTCTCAGCTCTCCCTGGATCCTTCTCTTCTGCAGGGGAACCCCCCCAGCTCTCCCAGCCTGGCTCCAGAGCAGAGGGGCTCCAGCCCTGGCAGCAGCTCCGGGGCCTCCTCTGGACTCTCTCCAGCAGCTCCACGTCCTCCTGCTGCTGTTCCCAGGGCTGGAGCAGCTCTGCAGGGGGGTCTCAGCTGAGGGGGCAGAGGGGCAGAATCCCTTCCCTCAAACCCCCTTTCCTGCACAAAATTCCAGCTTTGCTACAGAAACCCAACCCCTTTTCCTTGGCCCAGCAAGACCATTCCTGAGCAACCCTTGTCATCCTCCCTCCCTTTTAAAATCCCTGTTAAACAAGAGATCCAGGAAACTCCTTCGAGCTTTGGAGGATTTTTTTCCCCTTCATGTTACGATATTTGAAAGGAAAACACCCCGGGAGTCCCAATAAAACCTCTGCTGGATTTATTCCCTGATTGTTAGAGAGCAGAAAACTCCCAATAAAAAGCTGTTTCCAACAACAGCCCAACCTCTCCCAGCCCTTCCCAGGCTCCATCGGAGCTTTATGGGATAAAACAACATCTTGGAGCCATTGGAAGCTTCCAAATGTCCCTGATAATAGCAAAGCAGTGCTGTTATTAAGGACTTTTCCCTCCGGGGAATCCCAAGGACTGAGGAAAAGTGGGAGCTGGCTGAGGATATCCCACGCAGGTACCACCAGGAATGGTTTTTCCTGGGAGAATTCCTTTTGCAGCCGCAGGATTTCGCCCAATTGTTC